ACTCCATCCGTTCACGCGCAGCATCCGTGGGCCAACCGTGATAGCGTTCCCACAAACTCCATCCGTTCACGCAGAGCATCCATTGGCCAACCATGATAACGTTCCAAAATCACAAACCCGGCCGCGCAGAAACATCGGGTTTTTGGCGTTTTTGGTTCTGCATATCATCATAATTTGGACGCCATGTTAAGCCCTGTTAAGAGCCGAAAGTGCCGATCCTATCGTGCTTTTCGCACATTGTTAACAAGCAAACTGGGGCAAACGAGGGCGATGGACCCAAACATTAGCCCATCCTTTTGGGCAAACACCCCAGTCGCGGCCTTCGCCTTCAAACTCAGTGGCTTTCCTTTCGGCTTTGGCTTCGTCGCCTCAACGGTATACCGCTTCTGTCACAGCCCGGCACCGTGTGATCTGCAGACTGACTTTCAGGCCTCGTCAGCAGGCTTGTCCTGTTCTTCAGCAGGCTCCTCGTTGCAGCTGCCCCAACGAGCACTTGCCGCAGCCATTGCATGACAGGGCGAAACTGAGCAAGTCGACATCCACCCCCTGCTTCCCCAGACGAGCAACAGCCGCACATATTCTGACAGAAGACCCTGTGCATCAGAAACTTGATCCTTGGCTTTGCTCTTCGCCTTTGCTTTTGCCTTAGCCTTCGCCTGAGCAGTGGTGCGAATGACTTCCATCACACTGACCTATGTGGTCACTTCATGGCCTTTGCTTTTCCTTTGGCCTTGCCCTTGGCCTTTGCCTTCGCCTCAATGACAGGACTTTGGGATGCTGTCGTCTTTGCAAGATCAAAGTTGATCGGTGCCTTGGCCTTTGCTTTCGCTTTGGCCTTGGCTTTAGCTTTGGCCTTGGCCTTGGCTTTGGCCTCATGCCACAAACATTGCCAGCAATGCTTTTAAGGCAGGAATCGGGTGGCGCCTTCGCTTTGGGCTTCGCGACGGACGCCTTGTCGCCTTCCGCCTCGTCAGCTGATCTGGATTCCGGATGACTCTTGGGCCGAAGATTCACTTAGATCGAGGACCTTCTCCTCTTCCTCGACGGTCGGTGCATTCACTCCTTCAGCCTCCCGCATCTGCGCAGTATTGGCAGGGGACATCACATCGCCTTCCGACCAAGCCTCAGCCATGGTGCGAGGACAAGGGAGCCCAAAGGCGCAAAGGCAGGTGCCAGGATGGAAGTCGAAGGAAACCGGGGGGACTCTACGAGGGCCTCTTGAGCCGGAGGTCGCCCGGTCACGAAGCTCACACCGAAGAGATCGAAGGACGTGGCAGTGCAACATGGAAGTGACTGGCACGATCCGAGCTGTTCTTGAACCGTCGCCCGCCCCCAGTCTGTCGCTGGGTGACCGTCACATCGTAACCCTGCAACTTGGCGGCGGTGGCGCCAGTGCTGGTCACAGCTCCAAGGCTCACTAAGCTCCTGGAAACACTCAAGCCAGGCTCGAAAGGAGCTCCGTGGAGATCGGGCAAACCGCAGCTTTGCTTTCGGTCACCCGGCCCAAAGGGAGCGCTCTCTTTCCGAGAAGGAGGCCACATGCTCGTACCTGGGAGCCACTTGCCGTCTTCTATCTATCATCTTCTCCTATATCGCCCAGACGGGGCTATGGCAGTCCTGTACTACTGCAGCTAAGCCTCCATCTCAACAAGTTCGGCGAGGACGGGGGCCGCCCCCCATGCGACAGTTTCGCGAAATACTCTGCATCCTCTGCTGTGGGGAAGTACCTTGCGATGTGACAGCAAAGTCTCAGAGAAGGCGCGGCGGCGGGCTCTGGGTCCCGCGCCCTGCCAAGTAGGGCTTCTCCTCGAGCCTCTCCTCGAGTTCCGGAACTCCGTCGCGGTCCGCCGCTCCGTGGACCCGCGCCGTCGGGGAGGCGCTGGGGGCAGCGCTCGCGCTCCCGCTGGCGCTGGGGGCAGCGCTGGGGGTGCTGGCAGCACCGATGGGAGCGCTCAGCAGCTCCACTGTCACCGGCCTCAGCCAACCGGCTGATAGCGGGTCACAGCGGCTGAGTCGATGCGAACTCGAGCAAGCTATGGCGTGTCATCAAAAAGAATGGCAGAACCGAGCGCATCGGGCATGCCCTTGACGAGGGTGGTCAAAGAGACAAACCGCGCTTGACAGTTCTAACTCGAGGTTGCGATGTCACCAGAGACACGGACGTCACGCAGGTCACGAAGTCTCTTTCCATTCCGGAGCTTCCCTGAAGGATTGGAAGCGAACACAAAGCTGTGCCTACGCATACGCGTCGCTTGGAAGGCATGTGCGGTCACACGTACACTTCGGACAAGGAACCGAGCAAGTGGTTTGTCGCTGCGTGCTGCTGTGTGAGAGTGCTGGGTGGGGTGCGAATCACATGCTGCACTGCTCCAGGCTGGGTGCCACGCCCGTCGTTGCAGAGCTCCACATTCATCATCGCACCAAAGCTGCCCGTGGAGACTTTGCCAGGGGACAGCTCGCCGCGGCACTTGCCCACGAAAGCCTCATAGAGACCCTCCGCCTCATTGCCGCCCATAGCTTGGTGGAAGTCAGGCTTTGGCTTTTTAAACGTCGCAAACAGGGTGAACTGGCTCACAACCATCAGCTCGAAGCCATTGTCCACAACAGAGGATGCCCACTGCTTCTTCGAATCCTTGAGGTCAGGCCACAACCGGAGTCTCGAAACCTTCGATGCCAAATGGTTCACCTGATCCAGTCCGTCGCCTTGCTCAATCCCCAGGAGAAGTAGCAAGCCTGAGAAGACGTGCCCAAGGAATCGGCTCAGACATGCAAACTTTCGGGTCATGTCAGCGACCCCAAACCTCGGGCAACCTTTGCTACAGCAGTCGGTTCGTTCAGACGCAACTGAGCAACCTTTGCCAATCGACGAGTGGATGTTCTCATCGATCACGACACTAGCTCGTGTGACCCTCTGGATCACGAGCTTCATTGCTTGACAGTGGGCCGAGGAATAAGCAGAGAGGTACTTAAACGCAGTCAGCTTTGCCTCGCATTGACATAGTTTGGGTGACATGTTCTTCATCTTGTCGGCTTTGAACCGAAACAATAATGACATGTTGCATAATCCCTTGGAGTTTCTTTGAATGAAACATGAGTCCGAAGAGCACTAAAGTCGCTGTGTGTCCATGTCGACTGCTCAGGTGGCGCAATGGCGGCGAAGATTTTAGATTGGGAGCAACTGATAACATGCGCACAGCATGCCTCGAAAGTCATTGTGGACAGCACCCTGTGTCCAGAAGGAGAAACAGGTGAAGTTACAATCAGCTGATAAGGATCGATAAAACCCCAAAACGGATGTCCCGGAAGGACTTTTCCAGGAAGCTTCACACGCATCATCCTCAGCAAAGTCAAAGCTTTGGTCGCCTTGTCGTCTTCACCATACCCTCCATCCTCATCCTCTGCCTGATCCCCGTCATCCTCATCCTCATCCCTGCTCCCAAGATAATCATCATCGAATTGCTGAAGAATAGCTGACCTCAGGGTAGCACCACAAGGATCAAATAGAACAGCAAACACAGAACAGTGCAAGTAAACGCGTGGGGTCAACTATCGAACTTGCATCTACGAAAAGAGCTGCGATGACAACACAATCGCTTGGTAATCCTGGGAATCTGTTGAGCCGATCCGTGTGAATCCGTGAAATGCACCCCAGAAGCCTAGTGCCAAACCCACCAGGCAGAACTGCTTGGCCACACTTCCGGCGATCCTCCACTGCGCGTCGCGAGACACACTGATCCATCTACAGTGCTCATGCTCGGACGGTTGCAAGCAGGCATATGCCAACAGGTGCTAGCCGTTAGCCTTTGTGAAAGTAGTTGCCCTAGTGCCAATTCAATACAACTGAGCCGGCAGATCCTGTCCGTCGTGATTTGGTGGTAGATGGTGATGCTTGCAGCCGAAGTCATTAGCTGCCTCTTTGGCATCTTGGGTGTGTATGCTATGTGCATATATGGTACATGGCCACCTTTGGGGCCTTAGCAAGCACTCCAAAGTTCCGGCTTCGGAGATTTAGTCTCAAGGCCTGCACCGCCCAAGACATCGCAGAACGATGCTTTCAGATGAATCGGCGCAGGCTCCGCCACTTCAGAGAGCCCCACCCCGCCCGAGACATGCATGTTTTTCTGCCAGTTGAACAAAAGCAGCTTCCAGCTCACCGACAAGCAAGGGCTGCATGTCATCGAAGGAATATGGGTTGAGGCACTGTCTCGCTGACACGTATTGTGTCGGCAAGACAAGACTTGGGCGGCAAGTAAAGCCGGCAGAGCAGCGGCATCCGCCATGTTCCAGACTTCCGGAAGTCAGGTAAACCGCCGGCCTTCGCTACAAATGCAGAGTCAAAAACATCATGAGAGGCAGCCCTCGTCGAGGCCCCGCCTGGAAAAGTCACTGGCATGGTCTGCATCTGAGCTAGCGGACCTGGCTGGCTGGCACCAGGACATGGTCCACACTCACAATCTGTCGTCTGATGGCGCCTCCCGAGAAACCACCGTTGATAGGCATGGCCATAGGAGCCACACCAGGACCACCAGTGTAGACCGGAAGCCTGCGCCGATCCCTCTGGATTCAAAAGCTCTGCGATGACGGCTCGGCGCCTCAAGCTGGAGCTTGCAGGCCTCGGAGCCGCGACAGTGCCAAACACCTCACGCCGTCATGGAAAAATGGCAGACAGACATCACAAAGCCGGAAATCACTGTCCCTCCCTTTGCCCTGCCTGTGCCGGGGCTGTTTGTGGGACTGCCTGTGCCGCCGGGTGCCGCCGACTGCAGCGAGAGGAGTTACATTCGGCTGTGTGCTTTCCGGCTGCTTAGCGTGCAAAGGCCTGGACAGCGGCAGTGTCAGGACGCTGGCAGCAGGCGCGGGTATTGTTCCGATACCTGCAACGGCATGTGACAATGTGCCGGCCACAGCGCAGAGATCTGAGGAAGACTTCAAGACTTAGTAGGCGGAGTTGACTACTGTTTACCGATCGCAGATGATACGGTACCATACTTCCACACCTGAAGCCCCTGATGCCCTTCGGGACCTGCTCGCGTAGCGTCCACCAGACTGGCGCTGCGCCGCGCCGCCTGCGCTGCCTGCGCCCAGAGGCCCGCGGCCCCCAGGTCATTGCTCCAGGAAAGTTCAAAAGAGCATCCAAGGGCAGAAGAGTCGAAGGAAGCCCAAGTCTTCGAGAGCCGCTTCAGGATGGAACCACACTACAAGTTCCAGACAGTCGGCAGAACTCCAGCATGTGTCTCTTCGTATCTCTGCCTCTGTCTTAGTCCCAGCCTGCCTCTACATGTCTGTCGCTGTGCCTGCCTCTGGCAGTCTAGCCGTCTGCCTACCTACCCGTCATGCACCCTTTGGCAGACCAGTAGGGCTACCTGCCGACTATCCATGAGTTTGTGATTGTGCGCACTTACACATGCACTCATTCATTCGTTCCTTTATTCCTGCTCTCTCGCTCGCTCACTCAGTCACTCGGTCACCCTGTTAAATGACACCTCCCTAATGAGCCCTTAATGTTCACGATGCATTTGTGAATGCAACAATGCCGAATGGCATTGGCTGAAGACTGGCTGGACGGACTGCCTGGTTGCATAAAGAAGTGCTTGTGATTGTGTGACTGTGGAAAGGGATTGATCTCGTGTTAGATTGCTCTCACTGTCTAG